GAGTAGAAAATAATACAAGCAAAAAAAAAAAGTAAAACGTAACGACGAATTAAAATCAACGCGGATGGAGGAACCCGTGCTGCGGGGACGGCTGCGTGTAGTTCTTCGAGTACGGATTCCCTTGGGTCTGTCCGGGGTACATGCCGGGAATCGGCTGGCCGAACTGAGATGTCGGGAAAGTAGTCGGGGGATAGTTCTGATAGTTCTGTCCCATCTCCTGCTGTCCATAGCCGGGCGAAGAGTAAGTGTACTGTCCGGCGGTGTATGGCAAAGAAGCGAACGACGACGATTGCGGATAAGCTATAAAAACAAAAAGAGAGAGAACAAACAGAAATGAGATTTGATGCGTCTATTTATATCATTATTGCTACTACCAGAAGTCGGTGTCCTTGAGTATTGAGGATTCTGGTTTGCGGTGCTCGCGGATGGCATCGAATGGGCAGGCGTCACCATGCTGGGCACGCTCTGCGGCCTCGACTCGGTCGATTCGTTGGCGCTCGTCGGCTCCGGCTTCACCGCCGTCGCGTTCGCCTTCTCCTGCTGGAGCGGATCGAACTCGCTCGAATTGACTTTGCTCAAGGACGATGATGATGTCGTCTCTACACCGTTGGCCACAGCCTCAGTAGAAGCTGGAACAAGCTCAGAAATGAATTGGGATACAGCTGCGTGCGTTCATTTATACTTTGCTGCTGTGATGTCTCCTTGTTGGCGGCAGGCACTTCGAGTGTATCAAGGATCTTGTTCACTTGATCCCGGATACTCCTCAGCTGCACCTTGATGCCATTCACATCCTCCGTCTTCATGATCTTGCACTCCACACCATCGCTGTTGAGCAGGATCTGCAGCTTCAGGATGCGGCTGCATTGTATGGCGAACGACAGGTCTGAGCTGTCAAAGATAGTGATCAGATCACCGTCTGCAAAACAAATCGGAGATCACATGACAGAAGCAAACATATTAGTAAATAAAAAGAAAAACAACAAAAACATGTCACAAAGCAAATGATGAAAAGAAAAGGAAAGAAATTTAAAAAAAAGTAGTTGTAGTGACAGAGAAAAAAGAAAGATAAAGAGAGAGAGAGAGTGTGTAAGTACCTTCATCTTTATATTTGATGGTAATGTCGTCGTTGGAGGAGAGCTTTCCCCTGAAGACTCTCTGCATCATCAGCACCAGCTCGTCGTAGGTGATGGCTTCATTGTGGATGGGAATTCGCCGGATATCGTCACCGAGCTGTACTTTTATTATGAGCTTGCCGCTCAGATCAATCTCGTTCTTTATGTCCATCGCGACGAACTTCTTCGCTGAACCATAAAGCCGGACTGAGTGAATAATGCTAATGGGGATTGATTCGGGTGCTCAAACAGATGTCCCTTCAATTACAATTACGTGTGCCTGTGTGTTCGTTATAGCTTCTGGAATGTTAAGTCAATTAAGATCACTTTTATTCTGTTGGCTGGGGCTACTGTTGCACAAACACACACAGTGTTGTGTGTGTCGGATACGTACGTACACTTCAGGCAGCCGGTTCTCACTTCGAAGATGTATATATATATATTTATATGTCAAAACGGTTGCAAATACTGCGCGATGGATGGATGAACTTGCCGAAGATCAAGAGAACTTTGTGCAATGATGGCCTCCACAACAACAAGTGCTGGCAACATCACATCACCAAAAACTATTGCACTTTTTCAATACGGCATTCGCAAACACGACGGAAAAAAATAATGCACACCCATATCAAATATATTCCAACAATTACGATATTCATCCATATCTGTGCACCTTTTCCCACTGATTAATCATTATCAAAAATTTCTACAACAATAAACAATTTGAATCATTTATATATCAAACATTTATTTTTGAAATCACGTTAAAACAAAAACTTATGTTAATTAACCAATCAGATCACATCGCATCATTTAAATTTGAAAACTCTATCTTCTTATTGGTTAAGCAACCTTGCATTCGATCAATTGAAAAGTATATATGTAATGAACATTCATATAGAATGGAAAAGATTTATAAAACGAAACACGTGAATAATATTTACTAATTATCCTTGAGCTACTCTTGATTTTGGTATTTAAAATTAACATGTTTTGTTAGCGAATGTACGCTAAATCGTAGAATTTACTATTGAATCATTAAGACCAAATCTAAATGTATTTGTAATAAAGTAACAAGTATATTATATTTATTAAGTATTAATAAAAAAATACAATAATTTTAGATTCGATTGCAATAAATATCCTCGGACGACTCATTATTAAAAAAATTGCTAATCATCCGTTAAACCATCAGAGATTCAGATCGTTTCCAAATGATGACCAAGCCTTCCAAATCGCTCGTGGCCAATAGAGATTCATTATAATTGAAGGACACGCCCAGAACGGCGCAGGCGTGTCCCTGTAACGTGTTCAGCCTCGCCTTGTTCGTGGTCTTCTCGATATCCAAAAAATACACGTTCCCATCTTCACTTCCAGTAACTTAAAAAAAGAAAACGAAATTAATAGAATACAAGTATAAAAAAAAAGTTTGAACGTCTCTCACCAACGCACGCTCCTTGCCTGAAAGACATTATCGGACAAAATATGGACTTCACCAAATGCTTCTGATGGCAATTCTGGAATTTTCGCTTCAGACGCAGCTCACCCTCATCATCTGTTACGCTGCGAAGACAATGAAAACTTTGCTCGAAACGCAATAATAATAATTAACATTACCTGAACAAGCATACAGCGTTGTTGCTGCAGTTGATGAGGAGACTGGGATCTCTCGCTTCTCGACTAATCCAAGCCCTGTAACTCAAGCTGGTCACGGAACACGCCACACCCAAAGTCAACTTTCGTGTTCTCTGCAAACCGCCGGAAACATCGAAAACTGCGGACACGATTTCGCCCTGCAAACCAAAAAAAATCAACAAATACATCATTGAAATGATCATCCTCACTTTGTCATTTCCAGCCCAGATTATTTTCCCGTTCGTTTCTGAAGCCACGCTCAAAACGTTCCCACCGACGCGACAGACGCTCTGCAGGAACCTCCCGGTGGACACGTTCGCGACGCGAATCTCTCCACGTCCATTTCCAACGATCACCAAGTTATTGTTGGCCGGTTGAAAGATGCAGCAGAGAAGTTGAGACTTGTTCGGCTCGCGCACGGTTCTCAAACAATTGTCCGCGCTCCAAACCCTCATCGTTCCATCCAAACTGGTGCTAACTAGCAGATCATTATTGATAGACCAATCGAAACCTGCAATGATTACAATTAAACCCAAAATCGAGTACAACACAAATAACGTTACAAGTCACCGGTCCATCGTGTCCTCTCAGTATGGCTATCACAGAGCTGGTGGTAACGTCGCAAATGGATAAGGTTTTATCCACGGAGGAACAGCAGAGCTTCGCCCTATCGTTATTAGCAAATTTGATCATAGTCACAGCGGCTGTATGCTAAAATTCAATTTTTTTAACCGATTCTTCCGAGAAATTTAATTTTACCTGATCATAGATATGATGGACGCCCACGAAAGCGTAATTTTCCGCTATGGAATTACCACCGACTATAGCCTTCGAAGCTTCCGCATTTCTCGTCGGAATCACAGATTCTGCTGCTGTTGACATCGGAGTTAAACTTGTCTATAGAGACAGACAAAAAAATCATTAAAATTGCTTAATATCTAGGAATATGGAGCAATTAACAAGACAAATAAACAAACCCTGCTAATGGAACGTTTGTGGGTCAACTCAGTTGGGCCATACTTCTGCTGCAGCAGCAAAGCCCTCAGCCTTAAGTACTGCTTCCATTTCTCCTGATCCCTGTCCGTGTCCCTCAGCAGCTGGCTCCTTCTTCTGATGTACAAAGTCCCTAAGCAAATTACAAAATCGTATTACATTGTAATAAATCTACTCTGAACATCTTACTGTAATTAGGACTTTTGGGCACTCGAATCGCATTGTATTTAGCATCTAATGCGAAAACCTGCTGCTGCAGTGCAGTGGTCATCTTCGCCTCACGTAAACAAAGATACGTCCACACCACAAACAAACTTTGACGTTTAAATTGTCAGATGGTGTGAATTTGGTGGTCTACACCAAAGTCTTCGGTTCCTTGTGGCAGCACTGCGAAGGCTTTTTCCACCCGGACGCAGATGAAAAAATAACATCAAAAAAACATGCTGAAATAGTGAATTTAAATAAAAAGTGCGCGATATTTCAGGACTTTTCTCGTAATTACAAGCAGGTTTAAGTTATTAATTGTGTGTTACATTGATGAGCCAATTACTATGTTAGCAAATCTTAATTGGTAAGTGTTTATTGTTTACTAGGTTATGTTTACGCACATCTAATTGCATTCATATTTTTTTGTATTACAGCTCAATTGAAGCGCGTTTTTAAAATATACGATGGATCTGAGAGCTTTGTCCATTATCAAGAAGAAAATCCTGACCTCAGAGTAAGTGGTTTCGGCTAATTTTCGACGTTACGCGAACGTTTACAATTCTAACCTATATGTCACTTCTTATTCATTTTTTTTTTCCGTTTCGTTTCCAGTGCCGCCCTTCAAATAATCTCGAAGAAGAACAAAAAGATACAGGACAACGAAGCTGAAATACAGAAACTTACTCAGAGCCACAATGAGAAGTTCGACAGCCTCCAGACTGAATTCACCAATTACAAAAATGCGAACATCAGTTACATGGACAAGTATTTGGATATGAAGAAGAAATTCGAGAAACTCGAGCCCAAATACAATGCTCTGTTTAAAGAGCACCACAGTAAATGTGAGTTGGCCATTTGGAATTTCAAGTCTCAGCTTGGTCAGAGTGAGCAGGAATGTGCCAAACTCAAGTTGTCCAATACTGAATTATCAAATAGTTTGGACGAAGCAAAGTCACTCAATTCTAATTATGAAGAGCAAATTGCACAATTGGTGAGTCCCAAATATCAATTATGATTAATACTTTGTTCATTTTCCTTTTTGAAATTATTCATAGAAAATTCCGATTCTATTCTTCACGTATTTTCAGTAATAACTGATTGTTTCTGAATGTTCCTGTGTTGATTAGATTGCTTTGTCATTTAGATGATTGCAATAGAAGCAAAATGTTAGTCATTTTAGTTATTGTGCATTTCCTGTATGTAATTTCCTGTAAGATAGAATTCCACCCACCATGGTTTAACAATATTTACATTTAGTTTCTATCTTCTCTTTAGCAAAGAAACTTTACAAGTAAGATTTCATTTTTTTATTTAAACGTATTCACGCATTTTTTTTCATTTCTTTTAAAACTCGTATCTTTATGTATCGTTTTTACTTGAAATAAATATTGAGTGTTGTTTCAGAAAATACTTGAGGAAAGGAAGAATCAGTTAGAAGCAAGACTCAAGGTATTTACGAATTTACAAAGTGATAATACTCGTGAAATATTGTCTGGCTTTAGTTCTGCAGAAGCATTGAAAGCGAAAGCATTTTACGAGGAGTGTGCGGAGTTTGTAGACCGACGGATGGCCAACGAACGAACGTACGATGACGAGTACATCTTCAAAATATTGAAAGAGATGCAGGATATTCCTGAACTTATCACGCCTTTCAGGGACAAGATTGAGCGGTACGATTGCGGCGTGCAAACTGTTGCAGCACCGTCCACCGTTAACGCAAGTTCCCAAACCCTCGCAAAGCGTCTTTGCCACAAAGCGAATCAAACTACTGTGCCTAGAAGAAATCTAAACGATGTTGGTTGTCAAGCGGGCAACCAGTTGGAGACGAAACATGTTGGATGTCAATTTAGCGATAAAGTGCTGAAGTGCATTAATCATGTGGGAAATAATAGTACAAAAGATTTATCAGCTTTAAAAATGACTCAGCCAGTTTATAATAGTAGTGTGTTATTGAAGCAATTGAAAACTGAAGACTACAGCTCCAAAGATTTTGGGTGTCAGTTCAGCAATGAAGTAGAATCGAACGTTGGTGCGTGTAAAAAAGATGTAACTGCGAAGAGCTTCCAAGATTTCGGCTGTCAATTTGGAATTACAAATGATCCATCCACAAAGCAATACGAAACCAAAGAAGTTGGTTGTCAATATAGTAATAATTTAAGATTGGATGTTGCTGGGACTGAGGAGATTAGTCGACATCACAAAGAGTACAAAGAAATTGGATTGCAGTGTACTCAGAATACTGTTGAAATTGGAACAGTCACATTAAAATTGGAACAATCAAATGCGGAAACTCAAACCTGCCAAAAGATTAGTTGTATTGAGGTCACTAGGACGAGCAAACCCCCGACAATGAAACAGGCATTGGCTGTATTGAAGCGCGGAAATATTAATATAACTATAACCAGAGGGAAGGTCGTGAAATACAGCAGGAATCCGCCTCCGGCTGCTCCGAGACCGATCAATCAAAAGCTGTTCAAGACGCTGATGTGCAAGTTGAATGAAGTGATTAATTCGAGACCGATCATGCCACGTAGCTATGATTCGGACAATGAATTCCAGTCCATCGATTCCGGCTACAATTTGAGCGATTGCGAAACGTCTTCCACGAGAACGCAAGCAACGAATCTGAGTATGTTCAATGAGAGCACCAAGGATAGAATGGAAAATCTGTTTGGTATCGAAGAAGATGAAGAGAGTACCAGTTTCAAGACGTATTCAGACAAAGAGAGTATTGCGGAATCTGAGATGGAACGCGTCTTCGACGAGATGAGGTCCACCTCTCCATTGAGCGTTCTACCAGATAGTCCACCGAAAAAACGGCCAGCATCCAAAGCAAATGCAACAGATGAAACGCATGTGAAACAGCGGAAGTTGCAAAGCAGTTCGCTTGTAGCAAATCGTAAGCTTTCAGAGATCACCAAGAGGTTCAAAACAACTCAATTGAGTGCTCGATCCGAGCTGGTTTCTGGGGATGCGGTGGAGGTGCCGACGAAGAAACGCATCGCTCATAATGTTGCGACACTGAAAATTACTCCACCAATAATTCCGGAAACGAAACCGGAAATTATTAATGATAACCCATTGGAAATACAGCCAGCTGCCATCCAGAAGGAAGTAAGAAAGTTCAAGAAGCCCGTAGCCTATCAGAAGAGATTACAAAACAAAATTGAATCGCCGAGAATCGTCGAGAACGGTAATATGACGGAGAACCAAATTGTTAGCTGCGCAGCGACGAATGAAGACAAGTTGACGGAAAACTCAGGAATCAGTATTAACGTTGAAACAGAGACGGCTCATGCAAATTCGTTTATTGTAAATCAAACTGAAAGGGAACAGACAGTCGAATCCCAGAATGTACCAAATGTCATTGAAGCCAAAGAGGTTTGCATTAGGCCTGAAACTAGTGGAGTGGAGATTTCAACAGAACTGAACACTGAAGAAAGTAATCCAGAGATACTAAACGAAGAGAGAATTAATGACAATCCGATTGTTGAGAAGAAAATACCGTGGAGTAAGTCAAGTTTATCAACGTTTATAAATATTTAAAGTTAATTGTTGGAAAAAAACGCTAATGTATATTAATTTTTCAGGCAAAGCGAAGAAGTATCTGAGGCGATTGGTGTTTTATCAGGGAAATGATTTGAAGACAGATAATGCGGTGAAAACGTTCCAAGGACTAGATCAAAAGGTTCTGATAAACTATATCCTGACGGCAGTGAGAATCGATGAATCGGAGGCCGCGAAGGGCGAATCCCCGTTCGAGCCTTGCCTCACCATGACGCAGAAAGTTATGATTGGGTTCCTGGTGAAGCTCGAGAACGACGACTACCCGAACATCACCGAAGATTTTCTGGTACTCTGCGAGCGAAATCTCCTTTTCGTCGAAGCGGATGCCACGCACGTGATGCGGATAACTAAAGTTTACGCCGCGCTCTGCAAAATGAAGAAGCAGAAGATGAGATTACGCAGAATGATGTGCGACGCCATGTATCAAATGGGTGATCTGGCTGTACCGTTCATACATCACGTCCTTGTTTGCTGGATACAGATTCTGGTAGTCATATCTGACGAGCAACAACTTAAAGGTAATTTAATCATATTATAGTTAATAATTTGTTAAATGTGTTATGTTTTAGATAAACCGTTGATACAAGTATTGATACAATTGGTGCACACGAAAACGTGCCACAGTCCTGAATACTTCTTGAGCGTGCTAAAGAACCTATTGGAAGTCTATTACAAGTATCCGAGAGAACGCTACAATGAGAACAACCTGATCAAAGATTTCCTGCAGCAATTCATGTGTAAGTAGAACTAATACAAAATCAAAAGCTATTCTCTACAAGCAACGCAAAATATATTGCAGGTACTCTAAGGGAAGATTTTTCTGTGGCTATTACCATTCTGTGCAAGATCAAAAGCAATGCGTGGGCATTCAAGCAGGTCGAGCTTATACAGGAGTTGATAAACGTCGCTAAACACGGCAGCAGAGATATCGTGAATGCTTTGATCGGGTTGATCAGGAAAATCCAAGTGCAAATGAGCGACGATCAAAAAACCTATGCCAAAATAAACGAAATATTGGCGAGCGCAGAAACAGGTATGTCTTAGGATATAATTAATGTTAAATGGAAATAATATATAATTATTATTTTAGAGATTTCAGTCATGGAGACGGAGATGCTCGATCCTGAAGATGCTTAATCAAATGCATCATCATTGTGATATTAATTATACATTAAAATAATTATGTAGGATAGTACTAGTGTGGAAATACATCGTTTCTTTTTTATTGTCGTTAAATATGAAATAAGTGCTATATTAATTTATTTATGTGTGTGCCTGTACATATTTATCACAAATTAATTGAAATTAGAGGAATTGTCTGAATGAATTGAATTTCATGTTTAAATGGAATTTTATAATGATTAAAGAAAATATTTGTAAATATCTCATCGTTTCTTTTTTTATTATTTGAACATAAAACTATGAATATTTAACAAGTAGGAAATGCTTCGGGCATAAATTAATTAATATTTACATAATCATTTTCGTTTAAAAATATCTAAAGAAGGTTTGCTTTAGAGGTTGACGGCTTGACCGTAACGTTTATGATCGAGCGGATTGAACGGCGTGATGTTCCTGATTTTTGGTTCGTACGTGGTGGCGTAGATGTCACCGGTCAACTCCTCCATGGGCACCTCCTTGTCCGTCTTCGCCTTCTTCGTGGCTTCATCAACGGCCACGCGGATTTCAGTCTCCAATTTCTGAAAGAGTAAAACGATTATGATGATGTTTCAGAATTGATGAACCATACTTTTAACTCCTCGGGTGTGACCAGATTCGAAGCGACGATCTTCTCCTTGAACGAAGTGATCGGATCTCTGGTCTGACGGACTTCTTGGATTTCGTCGCGAGTCCTGTAGCTGGTACCAGGATCGGACATCGAGTGGCCAGAATATCTGTAGGTCGCCGCCTCCAGGATGATGGGACCTTTACCGCTGGTACAATGTTCTACTGCGAACTTGGTGGCTTCGCGCACGGCCAACACATCCATACCGTCCACCCAGATACCAGGAATGTAATCACCTCGGGAATAGTACGACGTGCTTGCAGCGGCCCTCTCTGAACTTGTACCCATGCCGTATCCGTTGTTCTCGCATACGTAAATGCATGGTAAATTCCACAGTTTGGCCATGTTGTAAGCTTCGAAGACTTGCCCTTGGTTTGCGGCACCATCGCCGTACAGACTCACGCAGACTCCATCGATCTTCTGGTATTTCATTGCTAAAGCGACGCCAGTTCCCAGCGGCACTTGAGCCCCGACAATACCATTTCCACCGTAAAAGTTTTCCGTGTACATATGCATAGAGCCTCCCTTTCCTCTGGCGCATCCACTTTCTCTGCCAGTCAGCTCAGTTAGGACACCCTTCATGGAAACACCCATCATGTAGGTCCATCCGTGAGCCCTGTAAGCCGTGATCACAGCATCCTGAGGCCTCAGAGCTGCCTTCATGCCCACAGCCACAGCTTCCTGTCCAGAGTACAGATGACAAAAGCCTCTGATAATTTTCTCCTTGTACAGATTACCAGCAGAAGTTTCCATCCTACGGATTCCATGCAACTGAGTGAAATACTTCAAGGCATCCTCTCTATTCAAAGTAACATTAGTTGAAGGACCATCATCCAATTTGTGCAACCTGAAAGGCTATACTCAACCATAATACAACTTCTTAACACTATAAACACTATCTCTTACTTTCGTTTCAAAACTAGCTTCAGTGGCATAATTTGCTTTGGCTGCTGCTGCTGGTATAGTTTTCTGCAATGACAAATTAAACGTATTTTTACTAAACATATCCAAAAATCGCTTCATGATGACTGTTAGTTCCTTTCTTTATCTCTCTCTCTCTCTCTCTAAATCCTTGCAACCTTTATATAATTAAATCCATTAAATAACCTTCAAATACCATTATAAATTTACATACGAATATATGAAAATAAGAACTCACTTGAGTTTGTAGGGCTTTTTTGCCCAAATTCCTCACGCAAATCGGTAACATCCCTTCTGTTTACTGTTCCCACGGGATCGCAAAGGTCATATATTTGATCTTCAAGATGTTTTCCACTGTTTTATTTTGCACTTGTCAAAGTCACAAATCTGATGACTTAAGTCTTCAATGACTTAGGAACAGATGTCTCTTCAATGACTTAGGAACAGATGTCACTGTGTAAAATAGTTAAACTAGTTCCAACTGCAGTCTAAATAAATCTATTTATTAAAATTATCGATGTTTCTTACACAACTCTTAGTTATTGCTCAATTTATTTTTACAATTATCTAAGAAATATTGTTTTCAAAGATATCCAAATTGTTGTGCAGCGCCAAAACGTCTGGATTTAAGACTTTGTTGGATTAGTAGATGTCGCTAATATAATCGATTATATCGGCAACTCTTATAGCACTCATGTATACATGTAATCCAGTTCAACTCATAGCCGGCTTCGTATGGTTATGGTTTGTTAAGACTCTAAAACTTTATGTTAAATGTTTAAAATGTGTGTTATAACTTAAGTTAATTAATAAGTGTTAGATTTACCTATATTGTTGTTGTTAGAATATAGTTGGGGATTCAATAAATTTTAGAATGGATCATCCAAGGTATTTCAAAATATTGGCTGATCTTACCCATTTCTACACTGACCACCGATCCAGTTGCCACATATTTGTGAATGTGGATAAAATGAAGGTGGTGAATGACCTGAAATTGCACATCACAAAGCTCTTCAACATCTCGAACTTTGATGTCAGATATATGCATCACCATTTGCCAGATGCAGAAGATATTCGAATTCTGAAGGATGGAGACACTGTGCAGTTAGTATAACATAATTCTGATTAATTTTGCTTGATATACTCAACATTTTTTTTGGTTTGTTTTGTAGTTTGATTAAAGTAAACACAGATAAAGAGAGAATTGAGCTGGTGGAGAATGAGCAGAATTGCATTCAGGAGAAGCTGGTGAAGAAAGTGAAGAAAAAGAAGAAGAAAAGTAATAAAAGCAATATTGGGGAACCTGTGGATTTCTTTGAGTTAACACCCAACAGCACTTCATCTCCAAACAGTAAAGAGGAAGAGGTGAATTCTGCACCAATCAATGGGAATGTTAGTCATGATTTGATTGAGAAGGTGGATTACTTTGAGACATTGGAGCACAAGAATAAAAAACGGAAATTGGATGAGGCCACACCCAAGATGTTGAGGATGAACAAGACCTATCATCCACTGTGTAGACTGGAGAAAACGAGCAACATTGTGAAGACGATAATAGCTTCGAAACCGTCAGACGGTAAGAAGATTTCCAATGTGACGATCGATATAATTCCTTTTAAAGCAAATTCGGAATCGGGGAATACGACTATGCAGTTGGAGGATAAAATTGGAGAAGAGCAACAATCGTTCAGCGCTGAAGCTAAAATGATGATTTGCCAAACGCCTCAATCCAATAAGGACGAGGAAATGCAGGAAACGCCGTGTATTAATATGGAACAGGATATGCAGGAAACGCCGATTATTATCAATAAGGAACAGGAAATTTGCGAAACGCCATCGAATAAAGACAAAGAGCAGGTGGAGGAGAAAGAGGAGGTGTTTGTTAATACGTTGAACGTTAATTTAAGTAAATCGGAACTGACGGACATCTCCGATTTCAATACGGATTCGATGATGGAGAGGACCGAAACCAATCGAAAGAGGAAACGCGTCCGAAAGCGAAAGAATTCTAAGAGACTGGAATCTTCCAGCTCGGAGAAGGAACAACCCAAGGTGCTTTTACCTTTCAAACCACCAAACACGCAAGGAAAACCATCCACTCACATCAAATTCGATGATATCCAGGATGATATAATATTCATAGATTCGAGCGTGAGCGTGTGCGAGCAGAAGAACGACGAGGCTGAAAAGACTAACATTCAGTCATCCACTACAATCTCGATAGCGGAATGCAACAATACTGCTGAGGATGTTAACAATGCGAGCAACTTTTCGACTCCCGGCAAAATGCAGCCACTTGAGCCGAAACCTAACGATAAAATCGTATTTAAAGTAAATCCAAATGCGACTTTCTTAAACTATTGATTAATCGTTTTGTGTTTGCAGAGATTGAAAATTGGACGCGATTACTCGCCGATCCTATCCGAGTCTATAACAGGAATCGTCGAATCGTTCAACGGGACTGAAATCAGTTTGAATATAATTGGTAAACGATGTATTCTTTCCATTGTTCATATCATTTAATAATATTTGTTATTTGATTATAGAAGGTGCATCGGAGTTTTTGATGCCTGGTGGTAAATTTAACATGACCGACCAGGATGAGCAGCATCCGCAGTTAAAGAAAACTCTGGAATGGGCCGTTCTCATCGAACCCATCATAAAGCGTAATTGATGTGTATATTTTCTATTGAATTTGATTACTATGTTTATTTCTACAAGTAAATTATTTACTTTCCTTGACTACTTTCCATAATTTTGTCTTTATATTTATTTTCCTTTAAACTTCAATACACAATTTATTCGTAAAAGTGAATTTATGTAGGCAACCAAATAATCATCACCCAATAAATTAATAAAACGTATTTACTTAAAAGTGAAATTAATAATAATATATATATGTAATTATATTAACGAATAACGTAATTAAAGGTACAAATTAATAATTATGAAAAGAATTACTGAAACATCTCTTTGTTTTAGCTGCAAACTATTAGTTCAGTCATTTTAGCGCTGTTTCAAATTCGAATTTAAATTACTTAATTGTTGATTTACTTAGAATCTAATGGATCATGGAAATAGAATAACATAATTCCAGGGTTGTATTCATAAAAATATATATTAATATTTTTAAATATTTTTCTTATTTTGTATATAAAACCTTTGGTCCGAGAAATATAAATAATTCCAAGTACAAAAACCGCGACGGTCGTAATATTTGTAATATATATCTATATATAACGTGCATATCACATTCAGCGTAAGTAAAATTGCATTTATAAACACGAAAATGCAACGAACGGAGTAAAAAATAAACATTTTTAAGCACATTTGGCATGTAGAGTGTTTGTGTGTGTGTGTAGTTATTATTATACGTATTTGGCAGTTGCAATTTTAGCATTTAATCCTCTGAAACTGGCGGCGCAGATCCGTTCGAGGGTTTCTCCACTTCGATAGTCTTCAGAGGTACTTCTTCAGGAACATCTTCAGGTTTTTTAACTTTCCTGCAAGAAACGCGAAAGAAATACAGATTATTATTTTTTGTTATAATCCAAAGGTTTAATTACGTACTTTCCGAAAGCCTCTCCATCGGCGATGGATTCTGGAAGGGTTTGGTTTAAGGTCTCCGGAAGCACGAGCGAGATGATGCCTCCGCTCAAAGCTAACAATCCGAAGATGATCAGTGGGAATGGAGTCCAAATTTCGCTCTGACAATTAATAATTGTAATTAAATGAATAATGCTTTTCTGGTATCGAACTTACAAGGATGTTGATGACTGGAGCGAAAATCGAACCCATACGAGCTGAAGTGGACGCAGCGCCGAGACCTGCGTTCCTGATGATCGTCGGGAATTGCTCCACGGAGAAGATGTAAATGGTTCCGTAACTGGAGGTGATGGCAAGCTTTCCGATCATGGCCAAAGTGACAACCAACCATTTGTGATCTGTTAATTGCCAAAATTCAAGTAAATAAATAAATTTTAAAGATTAAGATAATACCTTCTGGAACAGCCATCGTGAGTAATAAAGCTAATCCGGCGGTGAGCATGCATCCGCACAGGATACTTTTTCTGCCCCACCTGTTAAGGGTGAAGAGGAGGAATGTGTAGGCGGGAATCTCCACGGCTCCGGAGATTACGAAATTAATGAAATCGTTTCCACCCCCGAGATTGCTCGTGTTCCAGGATAAACCGTAATACGTGATACTGTTTGCAAACCTGAAATATAGATAATAATGATTTGCTGGTTTGGTCATCGTTTCACCAGTTAGCATTACCAGTCGAAGAAGATGATCAGAGAGCGCTTCCTGAGATTGGGGTGCCTGAAGATGTCGAGGATTGTGGCGCGCTTTTCGTTCGGATCCACTGGCTTGACGTCCGACCTCAGAAGATTATCCAACTGATCGTTCGTAATCGTGACTTTGTTCTCTTTAGCTGCTCTTTGTATGAGAACCTTCGCTTCTACGACTCTGTCTTTGCTGATCAACCAACGGGCGGATTCTGGGATGAACCACCAGTAGCTGAAGAATATTAAGCCTGGTACGGTGAGGGCTATTTGCAGCCACCTCCAGTCGTGGATGTAGTAGGCGAAGAGCGCTGTTAACATGTAACCGGTGGAGAAGAACATTTGGCAAATCACGCCTGCGGCCAGACGATCGCTGGGTCCAACCATCTCCATCGCTGCAACAACAGTAATTTTAATATCGAAATCTTCAAATTTGAAGGTTTTACCTATAACATAAGCGACTAAGAACACTCCAGATGTAGTCGCTCCAACGATTGCTCTAGTGAAGGTGAATGTCCAGAATTCTGGAGCCACTGCGGCGATTAGCCCGAAAACCACTTGGATGACCAACGATATGAAGAAGATCAGCTTCCTTCCGAACCTATCGGAAAGATCTCCGAAAATGATTGAGCCCAACATGACGCCCACCATGAAGAGGGCATCTCCCGTAGCCCTCATGTAAGACTTCCCACACACCATATCCCACTAAAAAAAACCAAGATTAATACCCAAAACAGTCCAATATATGTAAAAATATGTTACCTCGATGACTGCGCTGCTTTCATACTTGCTATAGTCGTAGATGTAATGATCACAGCTAATTTCTTCACCATCCACTTTCATTAAACAAGTATCGAATTTGTTGTTCTTGTAGTCCCAAGGATAGGAGGCGTTGAATTGCTCCTCGGACAAAGCGTACGTCGCATTTGGGAACTCATCCGGAAGCTGACATCTTTACAATTTTATTAATTTTTTTTTAAATAAATAACAAATTGATAACTTACCTGTAATCAGGTTTAGCGCCCAAAAAGACGTTACCCAATTTGTGGAAGGCGCAGATTATGGCAGGCAAACATAGCAGTAAGTATATCCTCTTTTGGTACCTGCACAAAAAAACAAACAACAATTTGTTAACAGAACTAAACGCAAGGCGTTAATTACATAGATAAACGTAACATATATGATTTACCTATTATCGGTTTCTGTTATTAAAATTTCCCAGTTTTTAATTAAAAAAAAAACACAACACAAACACAAGAATTTGCGGTCTCTTCGTGACAGATAAACACAACTTGTTTATTCGTCGATTCGCTTTTGTCACCATCGAACAATTCTTATATAATTTCACCATGACAACGCCTAATAATTTGGCACGTTTGATTATTTTAAATACGTCAGTATATTCATTTGTTTAATATTCATGGAAAATAGTTTTACGTTAACTACGAAAATGAAATTCCAAGTGATAAAGACAGTTTGAACGAAACCTTAAAACTACGTATTCATAATGTAAATTCCTAGTGTAAAGCAAACGCAATTCATTTACATTTTTTAAATTTTTTCCCATTGAAACAAATCTTACAAATTTCTTCATTTGTCACATGATACACTTGACATTGAAAGAACAGTATCGTATTTATAATTACACTTTTCGTTTAAATCACATTGAGATTTGCAGCTAATATATTTGTCGTTCACTGTTTCTATTTGGTTTAATTACATCGTAAATATGTAAATTACAGAATGAGTTAAAATTTACGTGAAGAGATAAGTAATTTTGTTCGAAACGATTCAATGAATAACAATGGAAAGGAAAAGTTATAAATCCCGGTTTCTTTGTTTACGCAGAGATTAAATTTGGTTCATTTCGACGCTTTTGTATTATAAAGAGAAAACATGAAATAGTGTTAACAAAAAAAAACATGTTTGCATTGCTATTAATAGAGAATAAAAGTTTATAATCACTTAAAATTTACTTTCAGGATTATAAGTGTTTATTTTGTTCTGTAGTTATTACTTCTGTATTTATGATCTATGTTTTCTTAGCTTCTCTATTCGATGAAGTTAATATTTTCTTAATTTTTTAGGGCTTGAGAAGATAAAATTATGAATTGATCAATTTATTTACCTTCCAAAGTTGCCGAGGAGCGGAATGACATCGTCGTAAGCCATCTGTGAGCATCAGTTTCTTGATCTGCAAAAAGAAGTAAGAAAGAACTATAACTATGATTATCTATCACTAAGCAATATTAATTACATAAAGCAAAGATCTAATAACCGAGTCAATGGACTCAGACGAAGACTAAACAAACTAAATGAAAAGACGAGATCCAAGATTGCGGTCGGTTAAATCAATTGTTTGGGCTCCGAGTTTATTGCAGTTGATTGGCGCTAACCAAATGGTATGTCAACAGGCAATTCCGAGCGCAGCTCAATTGTTTCGAGTATCGCCACCATAATTATTGAATCCTACTACAATTTAACAAAAAAAAACTCGTTTCTCTTTAACATTTTCAACATATTTTCTTTAATTAGTTCTCGAGATAAGAAACACAGCGAAAACAACGTTCGTTGCGCTGTTCGGGATGCAGCGACTGCACTAAATTATATAAATAAAAAAAAAATAATAAAACGAGATTAAAGTGAGCGATGAAACAAAATTAAAACAATTACGCTTACTTGGCGTGATTCAAATTGGGTCACAGTTTGTACGTAATTAGACAAGAAGAATTATTTAATAAGCAGAGATGTTCAATGTAATTTTCGTTTAAAGAGATTCAATTAATAGGAAAATGATAATTATGTCTGTGAATAAGTAGAGTAGATAATGATGAAGATACAAGGGTATTGCTTAAATTATAATGTAATTTGTGTGTAGATAATCAATAGATAATAGACAATATAATTAGAATAAGTATTTTTAATAGTTTATCAATAAAAAAAATCCAAATTATTTATGATTATTAAGTAAACTTATTTTTTTTTTAATGAACTAATTAACTTTTTTTTTTTGTAAAATTATGTGAAATTAATAATTTATCTAATTATGCAGAAAATATAATTGAAGGAAAAAAAAGATAAGTTTCACGTTCGAACTTACGTAATAGTTAATAAATAAATTATTGGATTGATTGATTGTTTGCAATTAAATGTAATTAGTTTTAAAGATAAAGTGCGAACGAAATGTTTACAGTGGATAAATTAATAACCTAATGGTAGTTTTGTTTGAGAAGCTGAAGAGATTCTCTCAATTAATAAAACAAGAAAATTGATGATCTTTCTTAATGAATCGATCCGAGTAACGTGCTGCAAGGCAACGGAACTGTTAGTAGATAAGTTCGGACTGCGATTAAGTCGATTAGGCAATTTTCGGCTTATTGGAAAACGAATTGGGTCAAACGATAATTACGGTTTTTCTGGTTCACTTTGAAACCCCCCATCCAGAATCCTGGATGACGCGTCGTTGCCTAGCAACGTTGGAACTACCGCGATTTCTTGCAAATATAAATAACCCACGGTTAGGGAAGAGGAGGAGGAGGCTGTGACCACGATATTCGCTTATTTATATTCTGTTTATTTTCTTCTTTTGCAGACTTACGCAGTTGTATTATGTTGATATGGTGGAGGATCGTTGGACCCACGCGACCCCAGACGCACGTTTTCTGTCGATGCCGGGCGGTTGTGTGTTTGTATGATGTTGTGTCATACAATTGATTGCGAACAGTCAGTCAAGGGGCTTCGGCCACCATCGGTTTTCCACTGTGATCCAACCATCACAGACGACGCGTTTTGGGTCTCCTCATTGTGACGTGGTCACGAGCTTGCGCATTTCCAGAAGACCGTGCAGCTATTACACAAGCACACACACCTACCACCAAGTACAAAAAAAAATTGTAGATAAAAGTTTGCACATTGTGTAATAATTATTCGGGATTTACGACTGTCCAAACCGGAGAAAACAGTGGAACTTTCACTGGAAAACTGTAGCTGTTTGATGTGGACTTCAGATCTAATCCTTGCATCAACAGCTTCTTATAATTAGATTCGTTATTTATAATCGCAACTCACTTTGTTAATCCTCGATAATCCTCTAATAGTTCACCTAATCTACAGCTAACACAAAATTAGCATTAACGAAAAACACACAGTAGAACTAAGCATTTTTTTTAATAAACAGTGGAACTTTTGGGGTTGATAAAAACTGCACTTGTTTGATGAAGACTTTAACATTTGCAGCGTATAAAAAAAAAATACCTTTTCTGTTTCTTAAGGGTCTATTTTTTTTTATTGTAGAAACCGGTAACATCCAGTACAACTATTTCGCAAGTTGTTTGTAACGTTAGGAGCAACAAACTGAGCGCATTTTCTGCTTACATGAAAATGATAACACAAAGAGCAAATGAAACAGCAACGTTATTTAACAAATACAAAACAGATCTTTGTCATAAAACCTTAACATTGTTGTTTGTACGCTTGACAATTAAATTAACATATACATTTACGCATTTCGAAATGCAATTTAAATTAAAATGAATTGCGTTTTCAATACTTTAATTGATAATCACGAATTACGGTCAGTGTATATTCTAATTGAACGAGGACAGGAAACGGAATTTCCTGTACAGTTTGTTCAGTTATACCTGGAATACACCTAATCAAATTTTCTATTTACTTCATAAATATTTTATTTTTACTAATTAACGTTCAGAATTTATTTCGTTCAGTTAAAATTTTGCTTTACTCTCAAGGTTATTGACTTACCTTTGGAGTCATGTGCTTGGAGTCGAATGGACTTGCAAATTAAGTATTTTGTTTTTACTTTGTGCTGCATTATTCTTATATGATCAATGAATGAGAGAGATCTCAATTTTTATCTTCGTCAACTGATACGAAAGGTCAACATTTGTAATTTATTTGTTCAGTTTATTGAAGCAATCAGCGTTTAAAAATAGAAGGCTGCGGTATTTGTAAATATTTAATTCATTATTTTTTTTGGAGCCACGTGAAAAATACTTGAAAAATGTTCAATTTTTATTCAAAATTTAAATTTTTCTTTTTTACGATTATTGTTGCTTTTGAAGAGGTTCTAATAATAAATTTGTGTTTAATATTTACGTTGCCTTCAATCACTCGAATATTTATTTATAGTTTGTGTGAAGTGATATGGATAATTAACTACTTAAAGCTTATCGTCGAATGCTCAAAGAACGTATTTAACGTAATTGTATAATATAAGAAAAATTGAAATTCAAAAATTTAAATATGTTTTCCAAAGCAACTCAACAGATGGTTCATTCATAAATCAGGCATAGCTTAGACAACAAATGAATTAATCGTTAACTGTGTAACAGTTTTATATTTATAGCTAACGTTTAAATTATTAAAAATTTACAATTAAAGTATTAATTAAAAATTATTAAATTTAGCAGCGCCAAAATGCCTGAACTAAAAGTATATTTAAGTCAAGGCGCGAACCACTCAAACGGAATTGTTTGAAACTTAGCTAGATGTTCCAAAATTAGGTCATAATTGTAAGCTTAATTACTGATAACTAATTACAAAACTGCTGATAATCTACTTGTTTCTAATTAATTAGCTTTAGTAAATTGCTAGGATACTTAGTAACTTAGATATGGATGATTGAATTTATTACAATAGCGTCATCTAACGTCTTTAAATTGAGTTTATTGAAAAGCTAAACTGGTTGTATAGTTATAACAAACAACTTTTACTTATAATTTTATTGATTACTTAATCATTCAAAATATATTTTAAATACTACTTTACAACTAAATATATATACTATATTACTATAAAATAAGTTTAAATATTCAAATCAAAATATAATAATAAATTAGAAAACACACTCTAGGTGGCACTGAGTAAGAAAATACAATCAAATTATCAAATTAAGAGACAATTTAACAATTATTGTGTAAATTATTTATATAAGTGCAATTTTTGCACTGTTGCAATGTACATTGTACAAAATGAATTATACTTGTTGAATGTTTAATTAAATTTAATTGTAAAGATTTAAGTATTGTTTAAGTAACTTAAGTATTTGCTTATTTTCTAAATTAAAATTTTTGAATCATTTACATACTATGGAAAATAAATTGATCTGTTGCAAAGGGCTACCAACTATGGGTCTTTGTGCCCTTTATTGTTCAATTCAAAGGCATTCTAATATTAGAGATTTTTTTTTATATTTCACTAGGATGAATGTTGATGCAGTTGCATAACTCTTGAGATAGTAGTTTTTTGTGTGGGAGTAGCAGGAAGGATGTTTGTATTGGATTGGAATAATTCTTAGATAACTGGCATTCTCTTGCTGTATGTTATTTATGTATATAGTCTGGCAATGTATCGACGCATGCGATAATAGCATCCGACCTATGTCAAAGTGACATTAGGGTGATTCTGCAGGACGAAGATGGCCGATGGGCGTTCGTGCGCACCAAGCAACATTGATCCTTATTGGTCCTTGACATAGGTTCGAGGGGCGAATCGTCTCTGTGGTACGAGCGAACCGCTATTGATTTCAATGAATACGCTCCGTTCTGACGTTTAATGGTAGAGGCTGAGGGTGTCAAACAATGCCCCAATGAAACTAGTAAAATGTTCATTTAACATTTGACCGAAACTACCGTCTGATCTAGAGCGAATACGAAGCGAAGAGGGATCGTGTTTTTGCTGTGATTATCTCCTGAGATTGAGCTCCTTTGCAGAGGATAGAGGAAAATGTCGGTCGCTGGAACCCCGTCAGGTGATCCTTACGTTATAGTGCCCCGCGAGAGGGTCCGTTACGAGGACCAATTCAAAGCCCTCAAGCCCCAGAATGGAGTGGTCACCGGGGACCAGGCCAAAGGATTCTTCCTCCAATCTCAACTCCCACCCATCATCCTTGGACAGATATGGTAGGTTTACAACTGATTCGCAAATTTCGATTCACTGCAATCTCAAAATACGATACAATTTACAGGGGATTGGCAGATACTGATGCTGATGGAAAAATGGATCTGTACGAGTTCTCCATTGCCTGCAAACTGATCAACTTGAAGCTCCGGGGATATGAGATCCCTAAAGTACTGCCACCAGTTATGTTGGCTTCATTGAAGGGTCAAAGTCCACCCACAATTCCTCCTCTTCCGAATGCTTCTCTCATAAATGCACCACCCAGGCCTGAGCCTCCGAAGATCTCTGCTCAGCCTCTGATCAGTCAGTCAATGATACACAATAATACACAACCTCCAATGATCCCACCGCAACCTGCTATGGTTCCAATCATGTCACAGCCGATTATGGGTCAAGCACAGACACAGCCAATCATGATGCCACCACAGCAACTTCTAATTTCCACACAGCCACCTGTAATTCCGACCGGTATTGTACCGCCCATGCAATCTGTGCCGCCTCTGGTGGCTGCAGGTGTTGCTGCACCCGCATCCGCCCATATGTCACCCATGGGTGTTGTGCAAACGTCCAGCAACAATACTCCAAGAGCCAGTGTGACCAGCTTGGATCGCGTCGATTCTCCTCAAGTGGAATGGGCCGTTCCGCATCAAACGAAGCTGAAATACACGCAGATTTTCAACACAATGGATCGCACCAGAAGCGGATTCCTTACGGGTCCGCAAGCTAGGAACGTTATGGTTCAAACGAAGCTAGCTCAAAATATTCTGGCCCAGATTTGGGCCCTATCCGATATGGATTCTGATGGGCGTTTGGGCTGCGAGGAGTTTGTCCTTGCCATGCATCTTTGCGAGCAAGCCTCTTTGGGTACGATGCCACCTACCGCACTACCCCCAGACATGATTCCTCCTTCGTTCAGAAGGATGCCCAGAACTGTATCGCGCACTGCCTCCATATCCAGTCAAGGCAGTGGCCAACCAGAGGCTGCAGTAGATCTCACTCTTATATCACAAAGTAAGCAAATTTATTTTAATTTTGTGTTTATTCATCATTTAATACTATTTTTTGTTAGATTCCTTTGAAGATAAACGAAAAGAAAACTTTGAAAAGGGTCAGGCCGAATTGGAGCGTCGCAGAAAAACGCTTTTGGATCAGCAGAGGAAGGAGGCTGAAGAGCGTGAGCGCAAGGAAAGAGAAGAGCTGGAGAAGAGAGAGAAGGCTCGTCTCGAAGCCGAGCGTAAGCGTGCAGAAGAACTGGAGAAGCAAATGCGAGAGCAGCAGGAGAGGGAACGCATGATGGAGGAAGAGCGTAAGCGGCAGGCGGATCAAAGGGAGGCGGCGCGCAAAGAAATGGAAAGACAACGACAGCTCGAATGGGAGAAGCAGCGACTGCAGGAGCTTCAGCAGCAACGCCAGAGGGAGCAAGAGAACGTCCTGAAGCTGAAGGCCAAGAATCAGAGTTTGAGCATCGAACTGTCGACATTGAACGATCATGTCAAGGATCTGTCGCAGAAGATTTGCGATACGCGCGTAGGCGTATCAAACGTGAAGACAACTATCGATGGAATGAGATCCACGAGGGATACGTCGATGCAAGAGATGTCGCAGTTGAAGAACAAGTTGAAGGAGCAGAACGCCAAGTTGTTGCAGTTGTCGCAGGAGAAGGTGAAGTTGGACGCGAAGAACAAAATCAACTCGCAAATGAACGAGCACCAGTCCGAACAGACTAAGCAGGCGTACGAGAACAAGGAGATTACCATTAAAAATCTGAAGGAGAAGCTGGAGGATATGGAAGGAGAAATCACCACCAAGATGTCGGATATCGAGAACAACAATTCGCAGCTGACGGATTTGAAGACTCAATTGTCAGAGTTAATGAACGAGTGCGAGGATCTGTACTCGGTGTACCAGCAGAAGAAGGGCACCGTTTTAGAAATGAAGGATAAGAAGGTGAAGGATTTCAGCACTGCTTGGGGTAACGAAACCAGCTGGGGCAACGAACCAGACACCGCATCTTGGCCGGCGGATAATTGGGGAGCCGAAGAGAAGACGGTGATTTCTAATACGGAAACTGCACCACCCTCTGCTGTCTCTTCAGATCCAGCTGCACATGGAAACGTCAAGTATCGGGCACTGTATGAGTTTGTTGCAAGAAACACGGACGAGATTAGTTTCCAACCAGGAGATATAATAAATGTAAGAGATTAAAAAAAAAAATGTAAATATTCAAGAGGTAAATTATTGTTATTTCTTAAGGTGCCGCTGGAACAAACTGGAGAACCAGGTTGGTTGGCCGGAGAGATCAGAGGTCACACTGGATGGTTCCCCGAATCTTACGTGGAGCCTGCGGAAGGCGTCAACGTGAGAGGATTCGAAGAAACGGTCGTTGCTGAACCATCGCCTGTCGCAGTTGTCGAGGATCTGGAGAGCAAACGATTGGAGTGAGTGCAAACTGTGAATTAGTTTTGCTTCAATCAAGTGTGTTTCGTTGCGATTTCAGGGGAATCGTCGAAGTCCCCGAAACCATTCCAGAGCAGCCGGAGATGGTGCAGCAGCCTGTCGCAGCAGCGATCGAAGAGGAAGCGGAATTCTACGTGGCGAGTTATCCGTACCAGAGCGTGGAGCAAGGGGATCTCACCTTCAACGCCGGCGAAATCATCGGGGTGATCAAGAAGGAGGGCGACTGGTGGACCGGTAAAATCGACGATCGCGTCGGAATTTTCCCCAGCAATTACGTCCAGAAGATGGACTTGGTGAGTGAGCTTTTTCGTAACTTTTTCTTTGGGTTTCGTTTGTTTGTTCGCTCTCAGAATGTGCTCGTCTAACATGTGTCCCGTTGTTTCTGTTTGTCTTTCCATTAAACCATACAAAAAAAATTAAAAAAAAAGAACGCTACCGCTTCTGAGCCGCCACCTCCTGCGACCACTAACTCCTTTAATGCGGAACCGAAGGAGTCATTAAGCGAACAGCTGCAGCAAGACGCTGCGGCCAATGCCCAGATCGACAATGAAGTCTCGCTAATCAACGAAAACAGTAAGCCCGAACTTGAGAAAACGGACTTTGCCGTGCTCGCAGCTCAAACTCAGGTAAATATAATAATACCCAAACATATATAAATCACCTCCAGTTCTATTTATCATGTGTTCGCGTGTCGATGTGCTTGCCTTTGATTCGGGTTTGTTGTGAAAAAAACAAAAATCATTCAAATTTGTTTATATTTTAATTGATTAATTTGACCTTTGGCTCCATACACATTTATCTATAATATAGAAAGTTTTAGAAAATTGCAACAAGTCAAATTAGTTAACTAATTACAAACTTGATATTTTGTTTTAAACACAAACATTGATCAGTGATCATTTCATCAACAATCAATAAACATAATTAAGAAATTTTAAACTAGTAAAAACTTACTAGAAGTTTTAAAAATCTTTAACAAAATTGTTAATAATGTAGCAAATATCCTGAATAATTGTAATAAGTCAAATTAGTTAACTAATTACAAAATTGATATTTTGTTTTAAACACAAACATTGATCAGTGATCATTTCATCAACAACCAATAAACATAATTAAGGATTTTTAAACTAGTAAAAACTTGCTAAAAGTTTTAAAAATCATTAACAAAATTGATAATAATGTAGCAAATATCCTGTATAATTGTAATAAGTCAAATTAGTTAACTAATTACAAACTTGATATTTTGTTTTAAACACAAACATTGATCAGTGATCATTTCATCAACAACCAATAAACATAATTAAGGAATTTTAAACTTGCTAAAAGTTTTAAAAATCATTAACAAAATTGTTAATAATGTAGAAAATATCCTGAATAATTGTGAGTAAATATGTGTTGTTGTTGTGTAGCCGAGGAATAACAAGAAGCCGGACATTGCTTCGGTAATAGCGCCGTACCAGGCGACCAGCACCGAGCAGTTATCTTTGGAGCGAGGTCAACTGATCATGATCAGGAAGAAGACGGATTCGGGTTGGTGGGAGGGTGAGCTTCAGGCGAAAGGACGTCGCCGTCAGGTCGGTTGGTTCCCGGCTTCGTACGTGAAGGTCCTCAACAGCAGCGGAAGAGCGAGCGGCAGAACCACTCCGGTTTCAAGCACGCGAATGCAGCAGGAAGTCGTCATCGGTAAATTCAATATGCAACACCTGCAACATCTTAACAGCAACTGGAAAACGTTTTCAGACAAAGTGATCGCTCTCTATCCGTACACTGCCGCCAATCCGGATGAGCTTAGCTTCCTCAAGGACGAGATCATCAGCGTGACAGCGCGCGAAGAGCAAGCTTGGTGGCGCGGCGAACTCAACGGCGTCTCCGGCCTGTTCCCCAGCAACTACGTTTCTCCTCTACAGCAATGTAAGTAGCAAAATCTCTCTGCTTTCAAAATCTCGCGTTGAATATCACATCTTCAAAAAACAGCACAGCTTACAAACATTTCACACGCTTTTCCGCAACCATCATTTGCACCGCCTCTCTCTCTCTCTATTTCTATCTTTGAGACAGTCAGTCAGCTTCTAATAAATGCGTCTCTCATTCATTAAAATTCATTCGAGTTCTTGCGATGAAAGAAAATTGATTGTGTGATTTTTTTCTTGTCTGTTTGTAGGAACGTGAAAATAGCACCCATCCTACCCAATACTACCACATAAAAAAATAATTAATTAATCTAATCGAGGTAACAAAGAAAAAAAAAAGATACATGAATAAATAAGTTTGAAAAGAAAGCGAACAGAAACCGTAAATACAATATATAGATTTATTAATTAGCTGAACCTAGCGTAATTAGTTATCAGTGTAGCCATATATAATGTGTTGTACGTTGTATAGCTTTCAAAGCAAGACAAACCTTATTATTATTATTACATATATATATTATACAACTCGAGGTAAGAATCTCCGAATGCGTCGCTAGAGTTCGAACTAGACTACAGCAGGGATCGGTCGCATCCTCAAAATCTTGGGCCCATTTCCATTCTATGAAATTTTGTTCATTTTATTTTTTTGCACACACACTTATTACATACACTCACTTCACTGTGAATCAATTTATAATAATTGTGATAGATTATTATTCATTCATTTTTATATATATATAATTTTATGAACATTGTAATAATTTAGTAAGTTTTATGTGTCATTCTTTCTTTTTTTTTTATATATTTACCAATGCGATATTTATTATTCAATTATGATATTTCGATTATGCCAATTATTGTATTATTACCTTTTATCATGACTATTTCCTATATTTTTATGAATTATATACATTTTTTATTTTCCATTATTATTATTATGTAATTACTATGATTATTATTATTATAATTGCTATTTTGTACATTTTATTAGCTGTTTAGTGTGAATGTGTTCGGTAGGGTGGGTGCTCACTCTTGTGTCTTCTTCAATCAATCAATCAATCAATCAATCAATCAATCAATCACATGTTTGTTTGTTTTCGGTGCTCCAATCCTTAAAAATCTGTTATTTTATATCACTCTATCGTTTTTGCGTATCTTCAGTTGTGTCTTGTTGCAAAAAGATCGCAGACAGTTAACACCCACCTTACTCGCTCTCTAAATGGATCTTGATTTGTTAAACTGTAAAAGAAAGAAATAATAATTACTGTACGTTTTGTAGTTTATTGCAAAGTTATTGTTAATATCTCTTTATCTCTTTCACTCTCTGTCTGGCGCTCTCCTAAGAATGACGATGATGATTATGATGATTATACCTTTTAAATTGACAATTGGAAGTTTGAAGTGAAAAATATATGTTACAAATACAAAATAAATGATATGTCTTATTATGAACGAACACAGAACCTCGTGTTTTTTAATCTTAATCTCTACTCTTAGTAATGATCTCGAAACGCTTTTCAAGCAAATATTCTCACGTCTCTCATCTCTGTTGCTTTCATGTTGTGTGTCTAGTTCAAGAAGACGCTGCGAGTAGAAAGCGAAAAGACTGTGTTAACGAGTTGGTGCAGACGGAGCGAGCCTACATAGAGGACATGGCCGTTGTTAGGGACGTTTTCGAGGCGCCTCTGCTCGAAAGCAGAGTTATCAACAAGAAGGAAATCGAGAATATCTTCGTCAATTGGCAGGATATTCTCGGCTGCAATCGCGCCTTCCTGCAGGATCTCAACAAACGCATCGAGTCAGGAAGTGATATCGTAGGCGATATCATCTGCACACACGTAAGTACATCTTCTTAGACTAACAATTATTGATTGTATATAAATTAATTGTGTGTTAAAGTTGCCACAAATGAACGTGTACGCTGTGTTCTGTCGGAAGCAGTTGGATAGTGCGGCTCTTCTGCAGAATTTGTTTGAGAACTCGGCGCCGTTCAGAGAGGTGGTGAAGAAGTGTCAGAGTCATCCGGCGACGAAGGGAATGCCGCTGAGTTCGTTCCTGATCAAACCCATGCAACGGATCACCAAGTATCCTCTGCTCATCGGAAAGATATTGGAAAATACCCCTGACAATCACGCAGGTCCGGATCATTTTGAATTATCCGAAACGCGCATGTTTACGTTCGATTTTCTTTTTTTAAATTTAGATTATGCGAATTTGAAAGAAGCTCAAGTCTTGGCCGATAAATTTCTGAAGAGGATCAATGAGAACGTTAGGCAGAAGGAGGATTGGGAGCGTCTGGACTGGTTGCAGACGTACGTGCAGAACGATCTGAATATAACGTTCAACGGGAATACGAACAAGGTCGGAGCGCGAAAGCTGATACATTTCGGTATTTTTTCGAAGGTAATTTCGGATGGAAGTCGGTTCGAAAAGGAGTTTTTGTAAAAAAAATTTGGAATTGCAGGTGAAAAGCGGTAAGGAGCTGGTGGGATTTTTGCTCAACGATTTTCTTTTGCTCGTCCAACCGAGTAAAGTCCTCTCCACGCAGTTCACTTTCCAGAAGAACAATAATGTTTCTTACAAGATGTACAAGCAGGTATTTGCATATTTTGTTGCTACAAGTTTAAAAAATGTATGAATTTTTTTTTGATGTTTTCGTTTTTGCAGCCGTTGATGGTGAACGAGTTGAAGGTTTCGAAGGGAAGCGTCGAGAGTGTCGAAGCAGGAACGGACGCGAATCGAGTGTTGAAGTTGCAGGACAATAAGGTGACGTTGGCTCTGCTCACGCCGAGCGTGAACGAGTGTAGCCTTTGGTTGAAGAGGATCGAAGCGGCGAAGGAGATGTACGAGAAGGTTGTATCATTGACGAAGCCGCGTCCCAAGACCAGTAAGTTTTCGTTACCATCGACGTATATGAGTATGACTGCTCGAAACAATTTATCAAAAAAAAAAAAGATCTGCGTGGCTCTGTTCTGTGTTCTGATGTGTGCTTCTTTTTTTTTTGTTTTTTTTTCTCTTCTGTCTGTCCATTTGCTGTGGTTTGTGGTCACCACAGAGGCGACCGGTGTGAGTAAGGGCCGTCTGCTTGTCCATGTGCTAAAAGGGAAACGTTTCGTGCACACCGGTAAGTCTCTAATGCATGCCCTCTCTTCGGTTTTCTCTTTGTAGTGGACTTTCGGTCGGCGAACTGGCTCTACGTGCATGTGATAGGCGCTGGCGAACTGTACCCGAGATGTAGGAAGGCGCAGAACAGGACCAGCAAAACTCTGTCCTTTATTCTAGGTCGGTCCTTCGTCCAGAACATCTACTGCCGCGTCTCGCTGGGCGACAGCGTGCAGAACACGAACGTCGCCGCGGACAGCATGAACGGTAATCCACCAGCATCGCAGCAGGCCAACAACGGTATCCCTCAACCGCCGAGTCTCATCTGGAACTTCAGCATGCAGTTTCCGATACGCACAATTCAAGATGAGATGCTCACCGTCGCAGTGTACGAGATGTGCCCATTCAGTCCAGATGGTTTGTTCTTCAAATGCTGCTGCGAATTTTAAAGATCTGCAGTGATAAAGAATCATCAATTTTAGAATTTTTGGGACGAGCCGACGTGAAGCTGAGGGATCTGCACGCCGAGTACAAAGCGCGAAAGGTGAACGGACCAATCACTAAGAAGCTGATCTTGCACCAGGTGGAGTCGGGGGAGGTCGTCATCAAGTTTGACATGCAACTCTTCTCCGACTTTTGAACCGGGATAAAAGGTAAATTATAAAAAAAAGAAAGGCTGATCGCAAAACAAGCAACTAGCTACACACACACATTGTATTCTCTCCACTAATAATGCTAAAACTGCCAAAATTAATTGATATATATATAGACAATACTAATAAAATTTAAGATTTCATTCAAGACACGAGATTAGGACGGATTACATTTATTTGCTTTTGACCACAATCGATCAGTATTTTATATAATTTATTCGTGTGATATTTTTTTCGAGTACAAAATTTTCTTTTAAATTTACACAAACAAGAAATTATTATTTTTTTTTGTTTCCTCTTAGTTGTTATTCGTGGCGAGTAAATGAATCTTGACCTCTCGTGAATTGCACGAACGCACAAAACATCTAAAATTCTTTCAATAAGAAAACAAATAAGTTTGTGCGTTTTAGGGATCATTCGAAATGCGCTTAGGTTTCAGAAACATTGTTTTCCCTACTTTCTTTTTAACAAAGTATTTAAAGAAATTGCTCGATTTAATTCTAAAACATAATAGATATTTAAAAATTTGTTGATTACTCTAAAAAGAAATGTTATATATATATATCTATAACTGTTTTTTAATCTCTTGATATTATTAATATATTCAAATAATATATATGTATATTAAAGAACGTTTACAATTTTTATACTATTTACGTAAAAAAAAAAAACGTTGGATTGTCGAAATTTGTTTGTTGGGAATTTGATAATAATTATAGTAAGTGATTGGGGGATTTCTTTTAAAACATATCATCTGTTTTATTAATTCATTTTTTTTAGAGTTTTTAATACTTTATCTTTATTTTTTGGAATTGTTTAGTTTATTTTTTTACACACGTATTATATATATATATTTATAGATATAAAAATAATATATTTATAATCTTACTTATATAATGAAATTGCAATCATCGTTCTTCCGCGAACACAACCCTAGACAATACGAGATTTTGTTTGTATCTTATATGTTTGTTTGTTTGTTTTAACATCACACATATTGTTGTTGTTGTTGTTTGTTGTGAATGTTCACTGTTTGTTTTTCTTCTCGTTTTTTTTTGTTAACTGTTAAAGGAAATGTAGCGAAATTTACTTAAACGAATAAAAATACATTAACTATTGCTTAAAAATATATATATTTGTTTATTTTATAATTTGTTCTGTTCGAAATTTAATGACAATTCGCATTCTTGAATCATTTGCTTCGATAGAATCAAATTGGCAATGATTTAATTGCTTTGGCAACGTACTTAAGCGTTGTTATGGAAACTGTTTTATATAATATTCTGACGTAAGGTTGTAATGTTGATTGGTCATTAAATTACGTACAGAAGGACGTAGCTTATTCTATTCTCTCTCTCTCTTTTGATATTAAATATTAATTAAATAAATAAATAAATTACATACACATTCGTTGTTTTGTTCTCTCTCTGTCTCTCTTTTTGTTTTCTTCTTTCTAGATTCACGCCACATGCACACTTTGAAAATATACAATTTAAATTAAGTAACCCCCACTTAATTCGCGTTTTTTTTTTTTGCATTTCCCTCCCAATAAAACCAATCACCAGTAATTTGTCCTTAATTTTGCCAGTCCGGAGTTCTCTCTATTCCTGCCGCTCGTTGACGGTCATCTCCTTCGCTTCGGCGTCGGGGAAACTGTAGATGGGCTTGAAGCCGCCCTCCAATTGCGGTTTGAAGTTCTCGATGTCGAACTCGCTGGTGGTGAGGACGGACGGGGACGTGGTAGAATCTTCCTTTCCTTTCGGCTCTTCCTTGTCGCGGATGACGTGCCAACCTTGGGAGATGGTGTGGTCCAGGTTGACGCTCGCTTGGAATGGTGCTTGGAAGTCTTGAGGTTTGATCGTGTCTTCTGGTGTCTGCTGTTGTTGCTGCGGCTGCGGCTGCTGTTTGGGTATCATCATCATCATCATCACAGGAGGTTTCTGGTTCAATTGAGGATGGGTGTGCATCACTGCGCTAACGGTGAATTCGGAATCACCGCCGATCGCAGCGAATTTCTCCGCGTTCGGTTCCGTGGGAGTGTAGGCTACTGCGATCGGACGGTCCGTGTAAGTCTTCAGAGTGGCAGAGATTTGGTTGGGGTTTTTGGATGTGATGATCCTGGATTCTGGGTCTTCGATGGTGTTCCATTGGTTGGATGATATGAACGTTGGTTCGTCTGGTAAGATGTTCTCAGCGACTTCAGGCGTTGGTACGTGCAGGATGGACGGATCCGGCCTTTCGAGAGGGTAAGGAAAATCGGATTTGATTGGATGCGATGGACGTGGATGGGGTTTCAGGATGGGCGAATCGTGTCGCTCTGTCAGCTCGAAATTGAATTCTTTGGAAGGCGGCGGCTCTCTGATCCCTTCGATTTTAGAAGGGGGAAGAGGTAATTCGGCCCTCGTCCCAATCACCACTGATTCCTTCTTGTTGCTGTCAATCGCGTCCAAGTGAAGAGGCGGAGTTTTTACAGGATACACCACGTACAGAGGATTATCCTCGTTGATTTGCGGATTGGTTATGATGGGCGTGATCTTGGTGGCGTCTTTCTTGGCTTGGATCATCTGCAGAGTTTCCGGGTCATCACCGCTTCGTCGATTCGCAATCACAACTTTCGGCGGAATCGGAGGGAACCCGTAAGAGGGGATCTTCTCCTCGTCCGGTTTCTTGTTCATCTTCGGCGGAAGCGGCGGTGGTTGCAGCTTCTCGAAGAACGCGATCGGACGATTCGAGGGTCTTTCGAGCAGCGGTTGCCTCGCGTAGTTCTTCGGATGGTAATTGTTGTGATGGTAGTTGTTCTTAATGTTTGGGCGGAACTGCGGAAGAATTACCGGCGGTTCGTTGACTCCTTCGTCGATCCTCTTGAAGATCTCGATGGTGCGCGGCGGTTGATCGTACTGCGGTCTTCCGGTGTGGAAGTGCCCCGGTCTCGGATCCCACGGGGGTCGAAGACCGTACATCGGCCTCGCCGGATATTTCTTCTCCGGCGGTGTTAAATTACTTGGTAACGGATGGTACATCGGTTTCGAACTCAACTTGAGTATTTCCCTGTTGGGCGTTTGCTGCGGTTGTGGAACAAGCGGCGGTGGCGATAAATCCGGAAGATGCGTGGTCTTTTCATCGGGAAACACGATTTTCGGACCGCTCCCTTTCGGAAACTCGACGTTCTTATCCAGCTCCAGTTTTTCATCTACCACCTGCCCCGGTTTCACCTGTATCCCTATTGAGAGAGTTTCCTCTGAACTGCGGATGGGTTGAATGGTAACGCTGCTGCCGTACTTCTGGATGTCGTTGCGAATCTCCTGAAGATTGTTCATCGGTCTGAACGGGTTTCCTTCGTACGGACTCTCCTTGATGCTCGAGCCCACGTAAGATCCTCCTTCAACGTTCTGGTGATTGCCGACGACGAAGGAAACCGTGTCTTGGTCTGGGGCGATGTGGATGTTGCTGGTGCTCGGCGCTTGCGGATGCACGTAATTGAACTTGCTGATGACCTTCTCGTGGTTCAATTTCTCGCGGATGTTCGTCGTGGCCACGATAATCGGTTGTCTGTTATTATGTGTAACGTGGTTTTCACCCAGAGGCAAAGAAGTCACCTTCTCATCATCGATTCCTTCAGTGGGAGGAGGTAAAGTGGTAGTTGTTGTTGTAGTCGTCGTGCTCGGAGTGGTAACGGGATCAGTATAATAGTCATACTCTTTCTCGGTGGGTTTAGAAACGTAATCATCGTAATCAAAGCTCATTTGGGAACCTGTTAAAACGTTCTTCTCAGTGGTCACCGGTTTATTAGCGGGAAGATTATTGAATAACTTCGGTGGTGGAGTTTTCTTTTCTTCAGAATAATCGTAATCACCGAAGATTTGCTCGAAGAATCCCATGGCTCGTTTCGTCGTCGTTTCCAGAGGATACTCTTCGTTGAAGCTGGGATGGTTCATCGGACTTTTAGAGAGATTGTCTTTATGCGTGGTACTCGGATACGTGGGGGACGGAGTCGTCGTGGTAGTCGTCGTTGTGGTTGTGGTTTGTCGTTCCTCGACGTTGTCCTGACTAAAGTAATGCTTAGTTGTGAAATACGTAGGCCTCATCGTCGGTTTATACGTGGTCACTATATAATTCTTGTGATTCTGATGCTTGTTAACATTCCCCTGCACTTTAGTATTAGCATAAGAACTCGAGATCAACGGATAAACGTACTTATTCGAATTGTACTTCACTGGTAAATTCAGATAATCATGGAAATTCGTCGTCAAACGATTGATATCGCTGGTCTTGTGACTGCCAGAGATCGGTCCATCTCTCCTATCAATACTAGACTTATCGTACTCGGATTGATCCGTCTCTTCGTCCTCAACTTCGCCCTCTTCGAAATCATCCTCGTAAACTTTCGACGGTTTGAATCCGATGTTTCCAGTTAACGGATCTCTTTCACCGTAGAAAGGTTTTCCGCGATTGAATAAATTCTCAGGCAGATTGTAGCCGGACACTATAAGAGGCGACGGATTCGGGATTTCCTCACTGTAAACGTCTTCCTGCGAGATCGAACCGATTATTAGCAAACATTATAAGCTTAAGATTTAAATTTGAAATACCGTCGAATTGTAAATCTCCTGGCTGTTCGAGTCGCTCAGGTCGATTTTGAAATCGTACGAAGACGTCGACGTTCTTCCATCCACGTTGTCTTGGTGACCGCCGATGAGAGCGGCCGCGTCCACCGTCACCAGGAGGATCGCCGGAACGGAGATGAGTATCTTTATGATCGTCATCACTATATACTGAAGTTCCATAACACCTGATCCGATCTGTAAAACGAAATATACACATTTATACTTTTACAATTCTTTAACTAAATTATGTCTTAATCTTCCAACATATATTAGGAAACATTATATAAACATCAACTCTAACTGTTAGAAACAAAATTGAGATTTTAATTAAGCTTTTGATTCAGGATTGGTTTGCTTGAAACTTTAAAATCAAGTAAAGTCACTTGAAAATTATTATTTTCTTACAATTCAATTGTACATTTCTGAATGGTTTAATTTGTGTGTGTTATATTTAAGTGCGCGCATTCTTTCGTTGTTTGTTTTCCGCGTTAGCTGGACGACGAGGATGGTCTTCGGTATTTGGTTTACGCTGGGTTATGGTTATTGCGCGCGAGCGAACGAGCACCCACACGACCTCCAAAGGTAACGGTACCCATTCGGATTCTGCTGCCTCTTCGTGTGAGTGTTTGTGTTTCGGTCTCGGTCAAGGTAAGAAAGACGAAATAACCTTGCCTCCGCTGACCCACATTCGGCCGGGGCGAGAACAACGCACCTCTCGATGACCCGTTTACATCTAACAGGAAATCATTTTCTGACTCACAAAATTATAATAATAACAATCTTTTCTTTTACGTTCGTTCGTTCGTTCGTGCACGTCCTACGAGGAATTCGGTGAAAGTTTAGGCCAGCTTTTTCGAGCTTATGCATCTCGTGCCAAAAGGAACCAAAGAAAACAATAATACATAAAACGGAAACGTAACACCAATCATCATCATCATCATCGCATAACAGAACAGACAACGAATAAAGTAAAACACGCATCGAAGTGAGTCAAAAACATTGACTTACTTTTGTGGTCCTTTTATTTCGTCATCTTCCTCTTCCTCTCGCGTGATCATTAAGGTGACATTCAAATGAGGATAATAGCTGACTATATCCAATTAGTACTAAGATCCTAGACGAAACAGTTAGTTCGAAAACTAATTTCGTTTTTTTTTTTTGTAACGAAAACAAAACGAAATTATAAGTTTGTATTTTAAATTAGAAACAACAACAATTCAATACAATCGTATCGTATAAAGAGCGCGATTACGCTTGTTCTAATTTCGACACAATTAGTATAATTTATTCGATTGTACGAAAGAAAAAAAATGTAGGTGCCATAGACAAATTCGATGATTCCGTTATTATGCTAACGCCGTGCATATTATTTAACACGCAACAACGTAAATATCATTCACAGATAAAGAATTTCATAATTTAGATGACGATGACGAAAAATTCATTAACAATTTTTACATATTTTCTTAGATTAGCTTCAATTTTAACTATAATTTAGTAACTTTGATAAAGTTTTTCTTTAATAATTTATTATATTAAATACATTTTTCAGTTAATGAATTGAATTGTACGTTAAATTGTTTGAATTTAAAATCACAATTTTAGGTGTAGAAATGCAATTATTTACATACTATATAGTTAAGATAAGTAAAACTTTGTAAATTGAAGAAAAAAAAAAATGAGAATATGAGTGAGAATTATTAACAATTTTTACATATTTCCTAGATTAGCTTCAATTTTAACTATAATTTAGTAACTTTGATAAAGTTTTTCTTTAATAATTTATTATATTAAATACATTTTTCAGTTAATGAATTGAATTGTACATTAAATTGTTTGAATTTAAAATCACTTTTTCAATTTTAGCTGTAGAAATGCAATTATTTGCATACTATATAGTTAAGATAAGTAGAACTTTGTAGATTGAAGAAAGAAAATGAGAATATGAGTGAGAATTATTGAAATTTCATTGAATTTTTCAAGAATAATTTTCTTAGAGAAACAGAATTTGGATTTACTGTACTTGAAACTTACTGTTATTGTTTACTTATAAAATCAAGTAAAACTTGAAAATCTAGTGCATACAACTAGAAATTGTAATGTGAAACGCAAACAGATTTTATTTCGGTCTTGATTCCACTTCCAATTCTTATATTGTTACAATTATTATACGTGTTTATTTGTTAACACTTTAAAAGTGTTGACTAAATACGTTTTTTTTATTATATTTAAACTTTAAATTAAGCGTACTAAGACTGCGCATTCCTCTTGAAACCTCTTTTGGATTTGCCTTAATTGAAATTTACTGTTTTCATAGTTTAATTATAAAAATCGTGTAAAACTACTTGAAAATCTAATGCAAACAATTTAAAATGTAATGAGAAATGTAACATTATTAAAATTGTATATAGCAACAACACACTTTGTTATAGAAATAAATACTTAAGAAACTACATTGAAAGTCTTTGAAAATTACTTTGTAAAAAACCAGAACATTAAAACAGAGGAATTTACAGTATGTGAGATCATCGTCAACATCGCACCTCCATGCAAAAACAAAATTGGAGCGACATTAGCAAAACCATGGCAACAGACAGGTAAATAGTATTGTGTTTGATGATGGGCGGCGATGAATATTTCATGGCTTGCTCTAAATATCATCGATACGGTTCGAAATGAATCTCGCTTCGAATGAACAGTAAAAGTTGCATTTACTTATCGGACGAAGTGAAATAGTTTTTCGTCGAAATGATTTTCTCTTTGGCTCAAACGCCGGTTTCGAACACTTTCCTCCGTCGTGACGACTCGCCGCTCTTCAGATAAGCTGTTTTTTTTTTCTTCTTAAATGAGTTTGCTTCGATTTCAATTGATTTATTTGCGCGTAATCCGTGCCCGACGACCTGATTTTGGGCGAGAAGGAAATACAAATTGTGGCTAATTTCGTAACGGTTATAAATTCTGTTTTCTTTTTATTTAGGCATGTTGTTGCATGCACGTCTATATACAATATGTGTTTTTTTTTGTTTCGTTCCTTTTGAGAGCGCGGATGCAAACGAGGTTGAGCTCCTTGCGGATAGCGGTATTCGAAGAGGTCCTCGAGTTCGGGTCGAGTTGCAGTCTAACTAGTCGTCCGTCCGAAAACTGGGCTATGCAGGTCTCTCTCTCGCATAATTCACTTTTGTTATAATTCCTATTGCTTATATAAAAGTCCGGTAGGTTGGCTAAGGCAGTAACAGTATGATTACGGTACTAAAAACCGCTACGAAAACCCCATACACGCTCGAAACGCTCCACTTCTCCGCCGCGTCGAATCCTTCAGCAAATTTCGGACTCTGGACCTCTAATGCTCCTCTTCTCACTCCGTGCAAAAGAGAACCAGACTCTTTCTCTCACCCGAAGTAAATTTAGAAAAGCGAAGTTAATCGTCGAGCGAGCTTTATTACCCAGGCCCCGAAACAATAAACCCTGACCAATTAAACGAGAAGCGCGAAAATAGTTTTCGTCCAAAAACTTACCGACAGACGAATATTTCGGGTGTCTTCTCTTTCCACTAAGAATCTCTTTCGCCTTTCCGTTTACGAAATCAGAGCAAAAAAAATACAAATTCAAGTTTAATTTATTGTTTTTTTTTTCTTCTTCTTCCAATTCAAATGGTCATCTCATCATCGCCGCACTCTTGCTCATAATTATCTTCGATCTCGAAGACCCGTTACCCGGAATACCACCACGCACTCTCGCGATTGTACTTTTGCAATGTTCCTCTTCCTTCTCTTGCAGGTTGTCTGTCAACAGCACACGTCCAGCTCGATGCCCGCACGATCGGTGACTGCTGCTGCTCACCACTCTTCGTTCGATTCTTCCTGATGTCTGAGGAAGAAGAAGTGGAGAAGGAGGAGGTTCTTCTCCCAATCTCTTCGGGCCGGTTTCCAGCCAGGTGGAAACGCGATCCTTCCGACCGCCGATTTTCGCGACGCATTTGCATTTTGCAGGATCGCAGGCGTTCCGACCGAATCCGAAGGCTTTCACCGCATTCGATGTATCGAATGTAGGTGAATGTAGAAGATTCTTTCTGTTTTCTGTCTGTGTCTCTGTTTTTTTTTTCTTCATTCAGGAACCACATTGTTCAACGAAGACGTTACTCATTCACTTGAACGTCCACAATTTAACAACCAAAACCTCACCAATAACAAAACGAATGAAAGTTTATTTTAAGATTCTTCAAAATCAGTTAATATCAACAGTTGTTATATTAATTTATTATAGATTTCCTTCATGTTTTTATGGAAATATTATTAATAATTAATCATTTGATGTTTATAGAAACAATTATAAAAGAATCAATGATTTTTCTTCATTAATCAATTAAAATCAACATTTTTTTTTCCTATAAATTTGTATACAATTAAATATTTCTTTCATTAAATTGAAATGTTACATTTAACGATTCTTTTAATTACTTTATTACTTCAATTAATACACATTTAACAATAATTGTTTCTAATTATTTTTGAATAACTTCTAATGAATTTTTTCAAATAAAATAAATAATATGAACCTAAAATTAACATTTTTAAGTTTACTTTGTCTAAACTTTGTAAAATTAACTTAATCAAATTATTCTGGTTTAATTGATTGACTAAATCAAACTAAAACTGATGAAGTTTTCTTTGAAAATAATACACTTTTTTTTACAATATATTTATTAGATTTTAATTAGAAAAGGCAATTATTAACATCTCACAAATAACAAAACGAATGAAAGTTTAACTTTAAGATTCTTCAACTTTAATGATTTTTATGAAAAATTATTAATAATTAATCATTTCATATTTATAGAAACAATTATAAATGAATGATTTTTCTTCATTATTTCAAAAATCAATTAAAATCAACATTTTTTTTCTATAAAATTATATACAATTAAATATTTCTTTCATTAAATTGAAATGTTACATTTAACGATTCTTTTAATTACTTCATTACTTCAATTAACAATAATTTCTAAATTATTTTTGAATAACTTCTAATGAAATTTTTCAAATAAAATAAATAATATGAACCTAAAATTAACTATTTTTAAGTTTACTTTGCTAAAACTTTGTAAAATTAACTTGAATCAAATTATTCTGGTTTAATTGATTGACTAAATCAAACTAAAACTGATGAAGTTTTCTTTGAAAATAATACACTTTTTTTTTACAATATATTTATTAGATTTTAATTAGAAAAGGCAATTATTAACAATTTCACTTCGCTACTTTGCATATCGCTCATTAATTTGCATACTTTCAATGCATAATTCATTCAAAGCATGTACTAGCATCAATATGCACAATAAAAAGTGTAAAGCTAAACGTGTAATTTTAATTTCTATAAAATCAGGTTAAAATGTAATTATAGAAACGCAATTATTGTGTCACATCCTTAAGGATGTCTACTATATACTCAAAAGATTAAATTTACTAACTTTGAAGCACTGATATATTAATAAAAATCAGGTTTTGAAGGAAAACATCTTCAAGGATGTCCACTATATACTATATATAAAAAAAAACAATATTTACCAAACTTAAATGACAAAATAATTTATTAAATTTAAATCATTAATATTTATGTAATTCTCGATTAAAAACAGTTTAATGCGTTATTATTGTATATTTATTGCAGATAAATATTGATGTTATTTCGTTTCCGACTTTTGTTATTTGTTATTGTATAGAATTTCGCTTGTAACGAATCAATTTCGTTGAATTATACAAATTTTTCATTTCGTACGTAAATCCAATGAAAAAAAAACCTATAGAAATGAAGTGTATATGTTAATGTTAGATGTGCAACGAAATATAAAAAGTCTGTTTGGTATTTTTCCAAACAGCTTACAAATACATACAAGAAGAAAAAAAAATCTAATAATATTTGAAGTAAAGTAATAATAACAGACGTGATTTATCGGTGCAAACTTGGAATGTTCAAGATTGCTCTTTCACAAACCAGACGAAAAAGCCCGTACGTTTTCTTGTGGGAAATAAATCAACATAAACTTGAACTTGTTTGAAAATTTCGGACTTGCATTCGCAATTAATCAACGCGAGTTTTATAAAACGCACGTTTGTTTCATTCAATAACGTATTAAAAGTTAAAAATTTGAGAATCACAATGTTTCATGTCATTATTATGTGTCATTATGTCAAAATTGACATATCTTCAATGTTCTAAATTAACTTAAAGAAAAAATTGATGTAATAATAACAATGCAAGAAAAACTCAACCTTTTCTAAAAAAAATAATCCTGTTTTAAAAAAGAATGTCCTTTTAAAACCGAAACACGATAAAAGTAAAGTAAAATTGACATTTCTTATGGAAACTAAAAATTTGTTTTGTGACATCCCAATTTCCATGGCAACTACGATATTTATTAAACAATTAATATTTAATAATATATTTCTATGGAAACGCATGCTATACAGATAATACATTTGTTTTTTAACTTAAACAAATTAATGTTTATTCAATTTTTCGCGAATGCAGAGACGAAATTTGCCGTTTTTCTTTCGAATTTCGAATTCGAAATGGCTTTCTGCCTGCCGCTCTCATATACATTGTCTTTGCGTGCATCCGAAAATAGCGTCCATCCGATATTTTGCACCTAATTTTAAATACAAGGCCTGCTTTCAATAATTCCCTGTTCTTTCTTTTCACTTTTTTTCTCTCTATCTCTCTCTTTCTTACACAAAACACGCAACGAACATGTTTGACTTATACAGAACGTATCCTATTTTCGGAATATTTCGCAAACCCATCTTTCAAACAATAACGCTACAGTTGATTAGTTAAATTAATCATAACAAAACATAATTTAAATGAATTATTGGAGCTCTTTTTTCGTTCCACTTGTTGAATTGCATTATCTGCGAAAGAGGAAGAGGAGGCGTCGTTTAAACACGTGAAATGCATTTGAAGACGGAAACGGTTCGAGCGAATACCTGACCTTATTCATTTATTCCACGTTTTTCATTTATTCAATTTATTCAACGCACACTTTTAATTACTCTCACATAGATTACTGTTCCAGCTAGTAAACTCTGCAAACTGCATCAAATCCCAACTTATCCTTTTCACAACTCACGCATATTCATTCATTGCAAATTAACAATTTTCTTGCATTTTAACAGTTATCCAATTTTATCCATTATCAATTTCTCACCTTACAAATCTTTTTTTTTTCCATTTGCAAATTAACAATTTTCTTGCATTTCACAGTTACTTGATTACATCTTTTCAGATTATCATGGGATGAATGAAGAATTATTGCATTTATTTCGTTACTTGCAAACTGTAAAAGGAACTTTACGAAAAGAAGAAAACCGAATTATTTGTCACGGTTGGACGGGCGTTTCAAGAGGAGACCTCATTTCTTTGAACCATTTACGATGCTTCCTATTAAAGTTCTCATTATTTACATCCGTAAAACATGAATAAAATCGATTCGTTCGACGGAATTACCCGGAAATTATGAATCACACTTTCTTTCTTTCTATCCTCTTTGTTCGGCGTCAATACAATCATTTTAGTTTCAGATATTTTTTTTAAGTGAAAAATCTTTTACTTTTTATATAAACAGGTCAACAGATTCAGTTTGCTCCACGCAATTACCCGGAAATTATGAATCACACTAATATTCCAAAAAAACTTTCTAAAAGAATCTTCAATTTCAACAAAATATATCTTTTTTTTTTAATTTTACAAAATAAATCAAAGGAAAATTATTTAAATTATTTTCTATTAATCTTGAATCTTCTTAAATTAATAGAAAATTAGACAATTATGTAGGAAATGATTCAACTTAATAGCTAATCAAAGTGATAAATGTTTATTGTCATGGATACGAATCGTTTATTATAAAATGTTTTTGATGTTTCAATAAATAAATAAAGTATTGTCATGGATACGTGTTTAACACGTTAAGGACGGCGCTTTTCGGGTTGTCTGCCCCCAGAAAATTTTTCGTGGACGCCTATGGACTGAGTGAAAAGTCAAATATCTTACGTCAATTATAAACCTTTAAACGTTTAAATTTTCTTATACATTTTTTAATGATATTGAAGCAATTTATAACAATTGTGGGAAAAATATTGAAATTTTCATTCAATTCTATACTTGCTAGGAAAAAGTGCTATAGGTTTTATAATAAGCAATAATAATAATTGATTATTGCAATTTCTATTCAAGTCGAATATATCATTAGCAATGTT